TTTTTTTATTTTTTTTAAAGCACTTTCTATAGGCTCTTTTCTTTTCTCTTTTCTCTTAGAGGAAAGACGAATGAAACGGAAGATAACCCTGGAAAAATTCGATGCATTAAAAACTTTTTCACCAACACAGATAGTGCTGATTGAACCTCCACGTGAGAAAATTGTTTCCAGTCTTCACACGGAAGTTCGAGAATACAGTCCTCGCTTTTAACGAAATGAAAGTGCGGGAAAACCTTTAAAATTCGAACTTATTTTAAGAGGGGCGCTTTGACGCCTGGAGGAAAAGGATAAAAAACGCGGCTTGAGGATTCCAGACGGTTTGGGTAAAAAAGATATTCTTTATAAAATAAATACAGGCGAGGGCGTAAGCACTAGGAATCGAAATGATTAAAGTTTCTAAAGCAACTGCGGGGGCGTCGGTTCAGGGGAGGGAGGAGGTTGGAATGAATTAATATAATACAGTTTGAAGGTATGTTCTTTTTGAAAGGGGTCGATTCGAGGCACATCATACTGCCTGGCAAGGTTGAATAATCTCTATTTTTTCTTATTGAAACCATGCAGAAAACGCCGTTCAGGTTATGCAACTCATCAACCAGGGAATGACATTGATGGCGAGTCGTGCGAGAAAATTGTATTTGTCCCTTATTAAAGAAATGCGATGAAGGAGGTTTCCGAGTAATTTGTCATCCCTGTACAGACGGTTGAGAGGAGATTGCTACACGCGGTAAGCTTGAAAGTTGGGTGTGGGGTTAAAAAGATTCAAATTAAGGCTCTTTCAATCGACGGTAAACTTCTGTTGCACATTTTCTGGAATCGCTAAACTTTCGCCGGGTATTTCCATAACTTGATGAGCGTCCTGAGAATTTTTCCTCACATTTGGCAAGACTGCTCAAACAAAGCGTAGTCATTTTCCGGGGGAGAGAGTGGGACTGAAAAAGGAGAAACGCTTCGTGGGGCTTGCTTAGGGGGTAAAACCACCGGGAGATCTCTTCCACATGGGGGCAGCCTGGCGTTGAAAAACTTTAAAATAAACGATTTGCGTTGAAGAGCGTTCAGGAAGAGGGTTAAATTGTGTTTTTAAAAGTAATAGAAATATTTGAGATCTTTGGGTCCCAACATGGGCTCGCTGGAGTAGCGCGCACTCCGAATCTCGCTCCGATAATTTTAACAAAGGTGACTGAAATTTCCATCATTTGATAATGTTTCATGCATCTAGAAATGATCGCCATTGGTATAGCCAGCAATTTGGCAACACCGTATTTTCTCCATTTAAACCTATATAAATGTATCGATTCTTAAAGGGGCCACGTGTTCCGACAATAATCGATTATTTAGTATTGGTTTAAATGGAGGATATTCGGTGCTGCCAAATTGCTGGATCTGCTTCTGACGATCGCGAATAAAGAGTTTACTCGTTATTGATTTTTTATTTATTTTTTTAAAGAGCAGATACCAGACAAGTTCAGGATCCTAAAAAGTATGGAAAATCGAAGGAATACATGAACGCCGGGAGATGGATTCAAAGAGATGAGGTAGATATACTGCCGTGCTAGGGAAAAACGCCGTATGAACCTCAAGGCGTTGCAAAATTTCGATTGATAAAACACGAATTTCCTGATAAACTTATGAATACTTCTCTTCCAATTTTTCAGATAATATCGTTCACAATTACACCTAAAGCTCCTGAAAATTGCATGGAAAAATATTCTTGACTTTCCTCAAAAATAAACATTTTAATGAAGGAAATTTGGCAATTCTAGAATGTTTATACGGCGTTCTTCCTTAGTGCGGCAGTATAGGAGACTCGGTTCGATCATCCTCCTTTTACACGAAGGATGGGTCGAGAGGGTGGGAAAAATCGGAGAAAGCGAGGGATAGAAGAAAATAATCCGAAGGGCATGCTGTCCTCGACAGATACAAACTTTGCGCTTTGGAAAGAGGCTCCATTCTCGAACACAGTTGTCAAAAAGGATGAATTTCAAAAGCTCGGTATGTGCTTGATCCTGGAGCAAAAGAAGCAAAAGAAGAGAAGAATTTTGCGGCTGGTGTTCTCTTGATACTGCGCATGATTTCAAAGGTGCCGGTTTTTCTCCATTTTTCTTCGATTACCAAAGACAACTGATCTTCTATTTTGTCTGCAGACGACAAGAGCTTATCTGCTTCGTTACCGAACGGAGCAGTACGATGTTTAATACAATGACATCCTCTTCTCAAATGGAAGTATTTCTGTCAAGCCGAACTATGCGTGCATTATGACGTGAGCTCTGTTATGCATACGTTCCTATGGGTCTTGGGCTCATGTCTGAATGCACATAGTTCCGTTTGACAGAAATACGTCCAAATGGAAGATGAGTGGAGTCAAAATTGAGTATCCAATTTAGAGGCAATCAACGTTATTTAGGTTCATTGCAGTTATTTTAAAGTGTATTTGAGTCAGTTTGGGTCGAATCAATTGAAATACGGTCAAGTTGATAGAACTACGAGTAACTCAACCCCATCTTCAATGTATGGGAACAGAATAGCATTATTGTTCACAGCTTTGGACAATACTTCTGAAATCGAGTTTCTTCATATTTCTACAATTTAATTGACATAAACAACAGTAAAATACACCCTAATAGTACAATACAGGGGCTTTTGAAGAGCAGTAAGTGCGTATATTGTTATTTGTGCGTATATTTGTGGGTATGTCGAAATTATTTCTTAAAAAAACAGCAGTAAGTCGACATTTTCCAGCAAGACAGTAGTACTCATTAATGTCTTTTGCAAATCAACGCTGAATTTATTTCACCAATAGAAAACCGGGCAATGAGCTAATAATGTAACTACTTGGTTCCTTTCTCTGAAGTCGAAAGTTTGAAACGAAACATTTTCTTCGTGATATATAAAAAAATTGTACGACCAGCAGATTTTCTATTAGCCAAGATACCTCGCGGTTTTTCGGCTGATTTCCATTTAATACGGAAAAAATGGATTGCTGATTTAACTATTAAATTGTTAAAAAATATGTCCGACTTGTTTCAAATGGACATTTTACAGCAGTGAAAAGCTAATTTTACCACGGGGGTAGTTAAATTAACATTTTTTTATTGTAAAATCTAATTGAAACATGTTGGACACTTTTTTAAACTACAAAATTTTTAAATCAGCCATTTCATTTTTTTCCGTGTTCAATGGAAATCAGCCGAAAAGACGTGCCATTTCTCGGCATGTTTGTATATTTTTCGAACAGCTCCCGAGGAGCAAGTGAAGATGCAATTTCACCTTCGGATGCAGAATAATTGAAAGGAGATTTGATTAAAGTCCCGAAGAAATGTGGCATCGTTGTTTGGAGAGACGCAGATCCCTAAGGGCGGTTACAGGTCACTTACTCACGATTCCCCACACCGCTGATTTCGATTTTTACTCCCGAGGCGGTTTGCCCGCTTTGGGTTCCTCTCTCAAAGACTCCCGCTTTTAAGAAACAAAGGGCGAAGGTAGGTAAAGCACTCGCGAGGTTAGGATATGAATTCAGATTCTCGATCGAAAGGGGATTCGTACGCATGTACATTGCAAAAATAAGCTTATTTGCGAGTGATTTTGCTTGAGAAACACGCTAAATACTACTTGAATATTTTACATCTCAGGTGGTCATTCTCGCTTAGGCTCTAGAAAACTTAATATAAACGGATAAGAAGATTTAAAATCACACAAGACTGATTTCAGAAACTGTCTGATGAATTCCTTATGGTTGCACTGAAAAAAAAGCTCCGGGTTTTATAGACATACCGGCCGTTCCGGGCTTAGAGGCTGAAAGTTCCGGGTGCTAGAGCCGTAACTTTGATTGCTCCGGGTGCGCTACACTGAGCTCGGAACACGGACGGTATGTCTATACAGCTCGTAAGTACGGCTTCCTCGGCCGGAACTTTTTTTTCAGTGTGAGTGTTTTGGGAAAGTCATAGATACGGGAAAACTTGAAAAGTCAGAGAAAAGGGGCTGAAAGTTTTGCTGGACACCCAGTTTCTCTCTCAGATTGATGGCACCAAGGGCTGGTCTAAGCAGGGCCGGATAAGGGGGTGGCCACATGGGCCGCGGCCCAAGGCGGCAAATCTAAAAGGGGAGGCAAAAATTTGCATTTTTTTAAATGTAGGTATAAAAAAAATCGGATTTATAAAAAGAAAATTACAAACGAGAAAAGGCGATAAAATCTCTCATTCCCTGAGAGTATAGTAATTTCTAATTTTGTCGTCTCTTGGTGATACAAGAGACAGCACTTTCAATAAGTCGAGTTAAGAGAGAGACCAAACACGCAATTTGGCCTGGAACGGCGCGACTTAGAGGGAAATGATAACGAGGACTTGAGATGAAAAGGAGAAGCCCTCGGCGCGGCGATCGCCATGTAACACATATAAGCGCCTACAAGACTGCGTGAATACTTCACGCGTTGCGTCCAACACAGTGCGTACAGCAGCGGTCGGCGTGAAACGCATAGCGCCTACAAGACTGTCGGAATACTTCATGCATTGCGCCAAACACGGTGCGATCTGCGCGGCGGCGGAAGTTAAAATCATTGATCCACATTTATGTTTGTTCTTTCATAATTTTTTTCTTCGTTTCTTATGAATGGAAGGCCTTGTCCACACAGAGATAGGTTCACGGAACTTAACTTTCGCGCAAAGTTCCGTGAAATTTTGCTGGTAGTGTTGACAGGGCTTTCCCAAAAAATGTGTTCAACACGAGTAAATGCGTCTTATGCATCCCTCTCCCGCTGACACGTTCATTTGATGGTTTTTATCGAGTTTCAAAACGAATGAGAGGGGGCGGCAAAATGCAGGCGGCCCATGGGCGGCAAATAGGTGAATCTGGCCCCGGGCCTAAGAATCTCTTTTAGCCATTTCTGTTACATTGACTGTATATTTTTTTGAGATATTTAATTATGTATTACATATGTACGTCTTGGAGACCTGCACAAGACTATGATAATTAAAAATACTTGAAACCTTAAAAACTCACTTGGGCGTAATATATTCACTGGCGGGCGCGTTTCGCCGGCTCGCATATTTATTCATCAAGTTTTTGCTGGTCTAATTCGAAACAAATCATGCACAGGAAGTGAGAATTCATTTAAAAAATGATGGTTTGGCGTGTTACAATTATTCGCTTGCATTCCCTCGATGCATTCAGCCACGCAAGGTAGCGATGCGACTGTTATGCTATATTTGTTCGTTACATTAAGTCAACATGAGTGCTTTTTTTTTCTCAGCGGCTGTCTTTATCTCATATCTTAACCTTTTTCTTCCAGCCGTTTTGACTGCGACCAACCAGGTACTTTCATCAATTATCGATACATTATACAGTTTCCGGAAATTTTATGGTGAGCAGAAACATTTATATATGTCAGGCCTGATTCAGAGGTGTAACCCAAAAATATCCCTTCCCCCTCCCCTCTCCAAAGCACTTTTTTTAAAGTGATCCCTTCTTACTTTTGTAATGGTAGCTCCACTGCACTCTTACAATTTTTCAGAAGCTTTTCATATTTTAAAATTTCATTTTTAATACATAAATAATTCATATTTCTAATCATTATTGTGTAGATAATTCTGATTTTTCTTCGGAATTTCTTTGGCATTTGTTAAAATTGCAACGAGACTAGCTCATTCAAGATAGTTTAACTTTATATACACCCACCACCTTACAGCAATATGGCGATGAATCATAAGTGTGCGCTTTAATACATTGAAAAATATTTGAAGATCTGGAACAAATGGCGAACATATGGTAATTCACTTTTAGTATTTTACACAGAATTTTTCATATTATACCATATTTTGCACTGTGTAATTTATAGCTCATCCATAAAAAGACCAATCTCCGCGGGAATCTAATGACACACATCGACGGTGAAACTACCAAACCACGTATCTCGGTTTGCGACGTCGCAGACTTCCTGTCATACTTTATTTTTTAAATGAAAAACTACTTAACGTCCAGTCTTGAAAATTTCTGTGATTTTTTCTCTTTGTGCGGAGAAAATTCAGTGAAAATTTCAAGGAATGATATTGATTTGGTCTACTTCAAAATATATAAAATGTGAGCGTAGATTTTTAAACACCGCAAACGAGATACGTGGTTTGGTAGTTTCACCGTCGACATGTCGTTTCTAAAATGATAGAATGTCTGAGAGTAGTAATTCCTTCCTTATTGCAAAATATAGTTCTATTATTGCATGATTACAGGCCCGCAGTACTGTGGTTGTCGTCGAGGATTCTGTAACGAATTGTGACGATAGAGATTATGTGCTAACCTATGGTCCTATGACTGTCACACGTGCCGGCAAGTTTTTGATCGTAAACGGAAGAGTGACAGTGCAAAGAGACCTACAAAATCCTATTTCGGTCAGTCATTTTCACAACTCTGCTTTCATTATTCGCCCGGTTAAAATATATCAAAAATGAATTCATAGCTGAGCTACTAACGCCGTGAAACTATTCGTTGATTTTCCCTAAATCCCCTATGAAGAATACCAGCAAGCTTTCAAAGCAGAATGAAGCGTTGTCTTGTAAAAATATAAAAATGAGTGATAACGAGGCAGAGTTTGGTATAATTAAAGTGACTCTGGTTAATGCTGTCCAATTCAGGATTCTTAGAGAGAGCAAGAGAGTAATTTTCATCGTGAATCACACACTTCAATTTCGGTGCCTGGTTTGTCTCAAGGAGACTTTAGTTTTCAGGAGAGGAGAAAGATTTAACTAACCACGCATACTTTAATATCTCCTTCATGATTTTAATCTGAATATTTTTAATATGTTTACAGTGTTTAAAGCCATATTGCCGATGGCCATTTACCGGCACTATGAGCAATGCTCTCTTGCTGACTGTTCACAGGGTTGCAATTTTTTATGAAAAAAAAATCTTGAATTTTCATGTGAAATATTTCATAATAATTCAAGAAAATATGAAAGATACTGAAACATATTGTTTAATATTAAACGCAAAATTAAATGAAAGGCAACTTGTGTTTGTTTTTCAGCATTTTTAGCGCATGTTGTATTCATCCGCCCCTTTAGAATATATTTCATTATTTTCACAGCTTTGTGAAATTTCATGAAATATTTCACGAAAAATTCCAATCTTTCATATTTTTCATTTTACTTATGCAACCCTGTCTGCCTGCACCGTCGAGACTGGTTTTGTAAGTTTTCTGTTTGAAATATTGAGATGTGAATTGTGAGGACATACATTTTAATGGGTGATTCATGATCCTACCATAGAGAGGTCTGTCGAGAACGCTGCTTTAAAGAAAAAGACAGAGAACATGAGTAAAATATTAAGTAAAGCGAAAAAGAAATCAGGAAGAAGACGAAAGAAGAGTAGATGTCTCTTGTTTTCCTAGAGACGCGTTGAAGTCACCAGTGTGAACTATCTCAAAAATGTTCGTCGCACTTATTCTATAACCTAGAGCCCTCGTGCTAAAGGTAATCACTGTACTTAGTTACAGGTCGAGAGAGTGTCCCACCAATTTATCTCATTAGTAATGTAGTCAATAAGATTAGAGTAGAACTATATGCATGCATGACGAATTGAGATGAAAAGGTTTTTGGACGCCGCTTTGGCGATTCTATGGAAATTGAAAACACTTCTCCAGTCAAAAAGAGGCGAAGCGCACAAGGATCTCATTTAGCGGAACATAATATGTTTTTAGAGTTAAATCCGAGGGTGATATCCGTTAATCATCTTTCACGTACGAATTTTTTAAAAATCGAAGTTATCTCTAGCCGACATCGGTTGGTCCAGTGGTTAGCGCAACTGATCACAGACCTAGATGTCCCGGGTTCGAATCTCGGCCTCGGTGGCAAGATTTGATGGTCTCAGATCTTGTCTCCGTGGAGTGGCATGGATGTTTCTCTTCGTTTCTTCCTTCGTTTCTTCCTTTGTACTTCCGTTTCTACTGTTGTTGTAATCTTCCCATCATTTAGCGGTGGCTGTTTGTCTACACGACTAAGGCCAATGAACTATACCTAGAGTGCGCAAGCTCTCAAAAAAAAAAAAAAAAAAAAAAAAAAAAAAAAAAAAAAAAAAAAAAAAGTTATCTCGGAGAAACCGGATTTTCTGGGGAGAAATCGATTTTTTTTTAAAAACTGGTTCATGACAGGAAACAATTAAGATTATTTTTGGATTCAACAGTCAAAAAAAACTCAGAGATGCACATGCATTACTCTTAAAAACTGCCACTGTCTCTGAGAGAAGTGTGTTAGAAGAGTTCTGATTTGGAAGTTTCCTTGCAAAATAATATACAATTCGCTCATCAATACCTGTCCTAAATTTTATCAGTTTTTTCTGTATCTGAAAGTAAGGTTTTATTTCTACGCACTTTTGAGTGCTGAAAGCGAAAAGTATCTAATGTTTTTCTATACCCATGGCTCACTCCTTTTTTTTTAAAAAAAAAATCGATGTTCCAAAAAACGTATTTCCTGGATGTAAATTGATGTATTCTGCGTGACATTTTGATGAGAAAATTTGATAAATGACTTGTTACATGTATGTGTGCACATATATATGTGAAATTTTGCTTTTTTTCATCAGTGATCCATTCTGTGCACTACCTCTCACTAAACAATATTTTGGATTCTATTTCAGTTTCAAATCCGGATCGAAAAATGCAGGGATAAGGGAAACCTTAATTCCTGCGAATATTATTCAACATGGAAGTGGGATGATGTATGCATACCACTCAAAATACTGCCTTTCATGGAGGGCTTTTGGAAGGCTCACGAGCCCTTTCCGAACTGTCCCTACAAAAAGGTAAACTAGACTTTATCTAATATCGGCCTCTAATCGTCCTAATCCTATAATCCTCTAATCCTCTAATCGCAAGCAAACAACTTTCAGTTTAAAAAGAATAAAATCAAAAGGTGTGAGGGTTAGGAAGGTTATTAATACCTCTGCAACGTTTTAAAATTTCACGTGAAAAATTATTCGTCCATCCATCAACATATCGACGGTGAAACTACCAAACCACGTATCTCGTTTGCGGTGTTTAAAAATCTCCGCTCACATTTTATTTTTTTGAAGTAGACCAAATCAATATCATTCCTTGAAATTTTCACAGAATTTTCTCCGCACGAAGAGGAAAAATCACGGAAATTTTCAAAACTGGACGTTAAGTAGCTTTTTATTTAAAAAATAAAGTATGACAGGAAGTCTGCGACGTCGCAAACCGAGATACGTGGTTTGGTAGTTTCACCGTCGATATACTCTGTCTCACGAACGACGATCCCTGGCCCGACGGTCATTTTTGCAGTCGACGGCAACACCCAGAGGCGGATCTAGCAATTTGGCAACATCGGATTTCTTCCATTTAAACATATGTGATATAATCGATTCTCGTCGGAGCACCTGGCCCTTACAAGAATCGATACATTTCCATAGGTTTAAATGGGGAAGAAACAATGTTGCCAATTTGCTGGATCCGCCAATGGCAACACCGCTAATGACTTGGACGAGGCATTTCAATGAAGAAACTACAGGAGCCTTTGACATACCTAATTCTTCTCCCGTTGAGCAACCCGTATTAGTAGGAGTGCTATTTTTTTTTTTTTTTTTAATTTTAGGGAAAATGGACTTTTAACTGCATCACACGACGTAGCATGAAAATCCAAGCAAGGTGACGTAAAATTATCTGAATTGGAGCAATTTTGACGATTTGTGCATCTCAAGATCCGATAATGATCCGTGTCATCTTGAGATACCAAAATCGTCAAAATTGCTCCATTTTTGATAATTTTACATCATCTTACTTAGATTTTTATACTGCAACAGTTGACGCACTTAAAACATGATTCTTTATAAAATTGAAGAAAAACAAATTCTAACTGACTCAGATGAGAAAGAGAAAACTGACGGGACATGGGTGTAATAGAAGTCTCGCAAACAGGAAGGTCCGGTGACTTCTTCCAGCTTTAGAGGGGGACCTCCTCCCAAAAATTTTAAAAACCGAGTCTCCTCAGGAGTCTCCTCTTCCGTCTTACGACGGCTATCTTGATACAATTTCCAACAAATTAGATATGTCATGCATTATATTTACTTTGCAAAATTTTTCACATTTCTTGGTAGAGGCCAAGTAGATTTCTGTGTAAAGCTAGGCCCCCACCCTCTCCCTATTTTTGCCCATGGCAGTCCCTCTCAAGCGATTTTTCTCCAGCAAAATTTCAGTATCGGGCTCTCAAATCCCACCAGTCATTAGAGGCCAACATTGCTAAAATTTACTTAAAAGCCCCATGATACCCCAAATGCCAGCCTTTTCCAGACTTTTCTAAATCTGTCTTTTAAACTCCAAGAGCCCACGGAGACTGCTCGAATTACTCGCTAATATAAAGAACTAAACAAACCTAGTGGCCATAAAAGAAGAGAGAAAAAATCAATCGGGGCCGGGGGCCCGTTGATTTAGGAAGCACCAAGGCTAATCCGGTCTTGATGCATTTACATCTTGCAGTATGCGTCATCTTTTATTGATTAACACCCTTTTTTGCTCGTTTTTCAGAATGTTTATGAATTAAGAAACTTCAGGATTCCATCGGATGCAGTGACTGCTGTGCTCCCAAACAGTGAAGGTCATCCTCTCTATACTGTCCGCATCCTTTCCAAAGAGCAAAAAGAGATTGTTTCTTGTATAAGAACCAGTATTCGTTTCGCGACCGTCAGAAAAAAATATTAATTATTACGGGCCATTTAAAGCGAGGTCTATCATAGTTAATGTTTTTCTAACACAATTGGCTCAGAGAGTGAAATTAAGCGTACGTTTGTTGACTTTAGTGGGTGCTTAACTATGAGAGACCAAAAAATTGAATGGATGCCTTTCTAAAAGTTGTTTTCATTCCACAATTCTGCCGGGAATCCTGCCGTGCCGGTCGTTTTTTACCCTGTGGACTTACTGGCCGCCCGTTTCGAAACCACCAACTAATAGAACAAAACAGTCCAGTAAAACTTTGTCTTAAAAAATTGCTTTCCTGCGTGATTGATCGCATTAGATTTTCGTTTAAACTTGGAAAAACAGTCAAATTGCAGGATATAGGCATTGAGAGAAAAGCTATTTTCAAACAAATAATAAACACTGAAACCTGACTTGAGACACCCAGTGCATTTTGTATTGTGCGTAAATTGCGAATTCAAAACTAAACCAAGGTTGTAAACTGTCTGACGACAGTGTGTACGACAGTACATGTAAAAAGTAAAATTAGCTACATGAACGCATTTTTTTAAGAATTTTCAATTTTTGTTAACTTTTAAGGCAACAAGGATCCTCCAAGCACTTGACTTTCAGTTATCCTCATGAATATTTTTGAATGAACCACTAACCAGTGTATTAATTGAAGCACTGTGTTACACGTTTCACTTCAAAAATTTAGAAAGCAATTAATACAACGGGAAGTTCGAAAATCAATTCCTAAGCATATTATCAACACGTCACACAGATTAAGTGGAACAGTAGTTATACATAATGAGTCGTTTTCATACTTGCGTTTAACTGACTAATTAATTATGAATAATCATATTTTTTGCTGGAGTTGACTTCCAAAGTTATTCCTGTAAATGAATAATTTTTCTTACAAAATTTCGAAGAGAAAACACGAAGGAGTACTTTACTTCGTAGCTTGTTCAATGGGCCACTATGTTGCCGTTTAAATTTCAAATGATTTTAAAATGAACCAGTCGTGTTAAAAAAGAGGAGGGTAAGTAATTTAGATTAGAAAATTAACAGTTAGTCTATGTATTTGTAATCTACTGCTCTTTAATTTTTGCATTATCTTTTATTTTATTTTATTATCATCAATGAGTGCGACATAATGATCGGAAACATCCTCCTGAGCAAATAAACTATTCTCTTTTGTGAGAAGAAAATAAAAAAGAATGATAAATAGGGCAAAATAATAAGAAATAATAATAATCTGACATTAAAAATAATGCTATCGACAATACCGCTAATGATGTTCCGACTTCCGAATACCACTTAATTAGCTCTCATGTCGTGGCGTGGTATCACACTTGAATGAAGGAGAATCATGGAGGCTCTAGAAACAGTTTACTTTCACCTACAGTGAGTACAGGTACACCATAGACAGCAAAGCGGGAAATATCCTTCCCTTTTAATATAGAGATTGCATCTAGAACTCCTCAAGCGTGTTCTTGGTAAAATAGGAAATAGCCTGAATTAAGTACATGAACTTACGTGTTTTTCGTCTCCCTTCTTTTTTCAATTGTTTCCCTTACCATCTCTCTTTTATCACATCGTTCGTTTTACACTTACTCCTGAACCGACATTTAAAATGATTAATATTCAGAAGAAATCGTGACTCCCGTGATTCCGTGTTTACCTTTTTGGGTTTTTAAAAAACTTAAGTGGTCATTCATTACTTCCAAGATTTTTTGTGGGGAGCTTCTCATGGTTTTACCTCTTACGATGGATACAAAGAGAAATTATTATCCCATATAAGAGGGGTAAATCATATCTGTCGCATAGCTTTCGAGGGATTTTTCGTGAACGTCGGATGGATAAATGTGAATACATTCAACAGATTTATAGTTTTCGTAGCTGCAGCAGTGCTGCATATTCTAGAGAAACTTTTAAATTTTATTTGTTGAAGGCAGTTCGCCTTTTTTCTTTCCCCTCTAGAAAAGCGACATCATTAATGTGCGCCTTTCAAAATATCTTGAAATAAGAACTTAAGATGGTGTTCAAACAAAGTGCTCTAAATCATTTTAACTTGTGACAGTAGCTGAACTAAGTGTAAAAATATTGACAAAAATTCAAGCCGGTCATTATAACCCGCAATTCAGATGACACTTTTCGGTCCTGCAGAAGACTTATTGTGCCAGACCACATATCTCCGTTGGCGACATTGCAAACTCTCAGTCATACTTTTTTTACTATTTACTATTTTTCAGATGGAAAACTACTCAAAGTAAATTCTAAAAAACCTCCATGATATTTATTTTCGGTGTCAAAGAAAAATCTGTTAAAACTTCAAGGAGCAATATAGGTTATTCCTCATTAATTGAAAAAAATAAGAGTAGAACAGAGATTTTTAAACGAGATACGTGGTCTGGTAGTTTCACCGTTGAAATATTCCATAAGAATTACGTGCCAAAGTTTTTTTATTTCGGCTTTACTAATGGCTCAGTCCTCCACGGAGAAAAAAACGTTGTGCATGGGGCCCGAAGTTGAGGTCATATGGATCTCTGAAGTTTTCTGATCACGCAACCGAAAACTTGAGGTCGAGCTGCCAAAGTTCGGGTCAGACATCGAGGCACTTCGTTATATACCGGAGTACTTCAGGTGTGTGACCCGAACCCTTCGGTATATGTATATCGAAGTGCTTCAGACGTCTGACCCGAACTTCGGCAGCTGGACCTCAAGGATTCAGATACGTGATCCGAAAACTTCAGAGATCCATATGACCTCAACTTATCGGGTCCTACGCACGAAGTTTTTTCCTCCGTGTCTAAACTAAAAACCGCCAATCCAACTTATTGGTTCGTAAAACCGAGCGTTTTTTTTTTCTCAGTCATTCTACCCCCTCCCCCCTTCCACCCCTCGCGCGTGTGGTGACAACGGGAAACCCTCGGGGACGACCGGGACAAATGGATGTCGCGTCAACTGCAAATGAGTCAAAAAATACTCCGCCGGTTATAATTACCCGGCGACGGTGTATAAATTCATAACTGCGACCGCAGCCCCCCGAGGGAGGGTAAGGGGAGGGGGAGGTGGCCGAAATTGATGCGCGGTTTGTCGCGGCTGGAGCGGAGTTGGCGGGCCTCCACGCCGACGACGAAGGTGAGACCCACGCTGCCGGATCGTCTCGAAAATCCCAAACTTTCGTCGATTTCACGTGTGAAAATGCTGGTTTTCGCGACGACCCGGCAACCTTGCCCCCGGAATAGACTCCAGTGCACGGGGACGCCCGGTCCCGTGCCACGTCGCCCGAATCCCGTCGGTTTCGGTGGGGATTTTGGGGGGGATTTTCGCACAAGTTGGTGGCGCGGTGACCGGGAGCCACTCTTTAATCATCGTGGTAACGAGCCCCGAGCACTCCCCCCCCCCCCCCCTTTTTCGGCCACGGCCTCAAAGGAAGCACAGGTCGACGCATTTGCACTTGAGGGGAATTAATGACGTCGCGCTTAGGCGGCCGATATCCAATGGATTCCTTACGAATTCCGGCCCTCCTCGTCCTGCCCAGGGTCGCGAAATTTCATGGAATTTACAATCGGGAAATCGTTACCTTCCGGCCAAGGTATCACAAGCGCCATGCGACGTTTCAGAATTTTCGCCGACATTTTATTTTTTACACAGAAATTGTTGGTTGGATCTGTTTGAAAATTTCACTGAATTATATCGAACTGCCGGAATTGCATTTTTCTTCATTGGCCTTAGTCGTGTAGACAAACAGCCACCGCTAAATGATGGGAAGATTACAACAACAGTAGAAACGGAAGTACAAAGGAAGAGACGAAGGAAGAAACGAAGAGAAACATCCATGCCACTCCACGGTGACAAGATCTGGGACCATCAAATCTTGCCACCGAGGCCGGGATTCGAACCCGGGACATCTAGGTCTGGGATCAGTCGCGCTAACCACTGGACCAACCGATGTCGGCAACTGCCGGAATTCGTTCTCGTTCTGGCCAGAGTCGCGAAATTTCATGGAATTTAAAATCGTGAAATCGTCACCTTCCGGCCAAAGTATCACAAGCGCCATGCGACGTTTCAAAATTTTCGCCGACATTTTATTTTTTACACAAAAATTTTTGGTTGGATCTGTTTGAAAATTTCACTGAATTTTATCGAACGGCCGGAATTCGTTCTCGTTCTGGCCAGGATCGCGAAATTTCATGGAATTTACAATCGTGAAATCGTCACCTTCCGGCCAAAGTATCACACGCGTCATGCGACGGTTCAAAATTTTCGCCGCCATTTTGTTTTTTACAGAGAATGTGTGGGTGAACCTGTTTGAAAATCTCACTGAATTTTATCGGCAGCACAGAGAAAATTCGGTGAGATTTTCGGACAGCCTCTTTGAGACGTTTCTCTGTAAAAAAAATGAGAAGGCGGCGGAAATTTCGAAACGTCGCATGGCGCTTGTGATACTTTGGCCAGAAGGTGACAAAATAACTTCGAAAATTCTTGAAATGTAAAAGTTTTAAATAGTTGATTGTTAGCCCAATACCAATAGTATTGAAACATCAGTTTATTCATATTTATTACTGAAGACGTAATCAAATGGAGGTGCTCATAGGGTTTGAACTCCCATCCCCTTATGATCCAACAAATTCCTTTAAAAATGTTTACTTTTCTTGACTCCCGGGAATGTTTTACCTCATGAGACATTTTTAACCGTAAATCCCAATTCCCATTAAAAATTTCTGGCTGCTGCTCTGTTTATCACTTATGTAAAAATTTAATCGGTTGGGGGGGGGGGACATGGGACTTTCTCATTATTTGGTGTTTCTGAGTGCATCTGAAATGCACATCATATTTTCCGTTAGTTTTGCGTCCTCGTATTTCATGAAGTATTTCACTATAATCCTATCTTTTCATTAGTTCCTTCCCTTTCATGTCATCCTGGATCTTGGTGCCGAAATCAACACAACCGAACACAAAAACACAAATATACTTCACGGTGTTCAAACTTCGAGCTGTGCTTTCGTTTCATGAACAAAAAAAGTCTGCTGAGAGGACCCAAATCGAGGGCCGAGGCCCGCGTCGGAAGAAACAGTAACGAGGCGTGAATGATCAACTATCGATATTTCCCCATTTGAAGCTACGGTAAAGAATCGATTATTAAGGTGCTCGTTGCAAACACCCTGTTAATCGATCCTTTAACATAGGTTTAAGTAGCAGATAAATCGATATATCGCAAAGTACGACACGCCACTGGGAAGAAAAGCATCTCTGAGGATTGAGGTGTAGTAATTACACATTTAAAGAGGGTGAACCTAAAAAGGGGAAGGTTTGGGGCCACGACCTGGATGAATGAGTACTTAACTGCCGGCGCGTGCACGGGAGTCAGCATCGCGGATTATTATTATGACATTACATTTTTTTTTCATCGTTCTCGTTTATTTCTCCTGGTTTTTTTTTTCTTCCTCCTTCTTTTTTTTACGGGATCTGAAGAACAACAATGTCAGCTATGCTCCATCCAGCCTCTTTTTTTTCACGCTTTGCTGCGTTGCTTCATGCGCTAGGCCTACCTGCATTGACATTTTGCGGAATTCTAATGCAAAAAGGATAAACTGAAAAAAAATTACGGGCTATGTAGACATACCGTCCGTTTCGAGCTCATAGGCCGAAAGTTCTGGGTGTTTTGGAGTTGTAGCTTCGACTGTTCCGAGTGCTGCACTCGGAACTTTCGGTCTCTGAGCCCGGATTGGACGATACGTCTATATGTATAGACCGTAGGCTTCCAGTTCGAGCTACAAACTCTCCGTATTTCTTCGAAAAGAAACAAGCCAACCTCATTGCTTGAAACTGTCATGGAAAATTCTTCAGACGGAGAAAAAAAGTCATAGAATTTGTTGAAAAATTATATTCATTAGAATTTCAGTAAAAATAAATGAAGTATGACGGAAAGTCAGGGATGCCGAAACCCACAATACGTTTCAAAGTTTGTTCATAGCTCCAGAAGAACAATATCATTTGAACCGCGTTAAGCAGAAAGGAACCAAGTCACATCTAGCTATTGCCATATTCAATCGGGCAATCTAATTTTTTGCATGGAAACGGTTCTGTCGATTTTTGTGCAAATTTCAGTGAAATTGCTGCTTAGTTGGAAGCAAGTCTTAACATTCTTAGATAAATCCGCATTCAAGTTCTCAAAAATTGAATTGTCCGATGAAATATTAGTAATAGCTGATGTGACTTGATTCCTTCCTGCTAAACCCGGTCCACTTATGGGTTGAATAATGAAATATACACCATACCATTGCTGAGTTTTAAGAATGTAAAATTTTTGAGAGGAAACTTGACTTTATTTGGTGATCTAATTTTTACCCTCATTATCCACTGCGAGTTCAGGAATCGGAACGAGAGCAATCGAAATCAGTCCCGACAGCGCCTAATCTAACAGGTTCACGAAGAGCATCGCACTCAAACCAAAACCACCTGCGTATATTTTTAGCGCCGCATTAATCTTGATGTTTACGCGT